GATATTGGCAGCCTTATAACTCAAAAACTAAAAGGTACCTTTTTCTAAAAAATAGCATTTTATAGAATACAAGTTGTGCATCACAAACTGGCGAAAAAACTGGAAAAGGATACTTTCAAATTTGTTAACCTTCTGATCTGGGAAGTTGCCAGAGTAAAAACTAATTTCATAGCGAAGAGAATCGTTCTTTTGGATAAACGATAAAACTTGTTCTTTTTTCCATTTCTTGCTTTATATCTCTCTCTATAGTGTGCATAGAAAGAACAAAACATCAAGTCAAGTATAGTCCAGAAAAGAATGGTCCCTTTAGGACCGGCAGATCACGGGTTTTTCATTTTCTGCAATACAAGTACAGAAAAGAATATATACATACATGTTCATTCTGTTATACGATAGTTTCATATTCTTTTTTCAGGCATATTGAAAAATTCTGTTCTCAATTTTCTCTCCAATCTAGGTGAAAATATTCACCGGTGAATGAATTCACCGATGCGACTTTTGACGGCTTCCCTTAGAAGGCATAACCAAACAGTAAAATATTCAGGTTTTTCCACAAAAGCCTCAGGTCTTCAAAACCTCCAATGATGTAACTTTTAGCAAAATCTATTTTTCGTGATTGTCAGGTATACTGGATAGGCTTATGCAGGCTCTCTTAAACCGTCTTAATAACATAATTCTAAGAAGTACCTAATAGTTTTACTTCGAAAAACGTTTTCATATTTTGAAGTTCAAATCCGTGCAGAAACTAATGAATATAAAATCCAATATTCATCCTTGTCAAATTGTACCGGGTTGTGTATAACCTTTTGTTAGAGGAGCACAGCTCCAATGACAAATGATATAAGAATAAATACATACCGAATTGAAGCTCATTGAAAACGGAATTAATGGGTATAACTGGTAATCCATAGGTTGATTATGAGATATAGAATTAGGGAAGTTTCTATCGGGAGCGTCATAGTGAATGAGCCTCTTAGTATTTTCTATTTTTCTCGTATTCCTTTAGGATCTCACGGTTAGGGTTTTTTTTAAAGATGCACCACGTAATACTCTAGAAAACTACACCTAAACTTTAGTTTTAGAACTTCAATCAAGAGAACTACATAAACTATACGAAAGGCGAAAACACTAAAAACTTTGTAAATTTGATATTTTTTCAACTAGAACTTTTTTCCTTCTACTACCATTTCTGTAAAGAGTGTAGCAAAAGTAAGCACTCAGTTCTTTTTGTGCTTTAGAATATACTCTTTCTCGTGGTCTGTAAAAAAAGTTTTAAAATAGATGGTGTGTTAGAGAACGAAGTTTCAAAAATTTGTCCCCATTTTCAACAATATGCTCAAGCAAAAACCAGAAAACGCGATCGAAATTTTGATTTTGCAGTTAGATAGTAAAGAACAATCATTTCTGATCAAAACAAAACAAACCCGATCGAAAAAGCTTTTGTTCTAATGAGTTATGGGACTTTTACTGAAAGCAGCATTATACTTAGAATTGACGCATGGGATAGAAACTTCCCTAATTCTATATCTCATAATCAACCTATGGATTATCAGTTATATCCATTAATCCCGTTTTCTATGAACTTTTATTTGGTGTATAATTCATTTTTATATTATTTGTCGCTGGAGCTGTGTGTTCCCCTAGCAAAAGGTTATGCACAACCCGGTAGATATAGGTGCCTGAAGTTCGTTAAAACTGCTCTCAATTCTCTAGCATTGGTTCATGATAGAGTTTTGCACCCAAGCAAAGTATCAGGATTTTTCGAATAGCCGACTTCCGAAGTTTTCTCTCTGCATCATTCGTCTACAAGCAAGGGATTCCGCCAGAATCTTTAGAAATTACTTTGTTTATCAAAGCCAACAAATACTACACTTCAATACACATACAGTACCGATGGAAATTTATTTATTACAGATAGTGCCACTGCATAGCAAACGGTATAAAAAATAATCAGAAAAACTTCGATATGAAGCCAAAAGTACAGGAAATTTATATTGATTTGCTTTGACTTTTTTACGGTATTTAAAAGTCTTAATATATTTATTGCAATAGAAAAATATTGTGAAAAATCTGTGGAAAAATCGAGAGAGTTTACTCGGATTTCGGCAAACTTTTCCAGTTTTTGCTCACTTTTTTGTCGTTTTCTGCAGCTTTTGGCTATCTTTGCTTTTTAATTCAACAGTAATTGTCATCAAAAACTGAGTCGAATGGTATATTCTTTCATCTTATCCGACAATTTTCGTTTTATTCGAATTTTCACGCCGAAAAATTACTGAGATGTTCACGAAAAAATAAAAATTAATGGAAAGTTACGAAAGAATGCATCCTTCGACTCAGTTTTTGATGACAATTCCGAATATAATACTTTTATTGCATAAAAATTGAGTTCTGGCGAAGAAAAATAAGAATTACGGGCAGGATTCTGACTTTTTCTCTTCGGAGCTAGAAAAAATGAATTTTCTCAGTGAAGAAACAAAATCAAAAGAAATCCTTACATCGTGTTAAAACTGACAGTTTGACGGTTGGAATAAGATAAGAGAAATGGCAAAATGTATTCACACAAAAAACTAGATAGGTTTGAAAATGACCTGCTGTCGTTTTGAAAGATCAGTTCAAATGAAGCAGGCTAAATCAGCTTTTAGATTCGAGGCCAATCAAACATCTTCTCTATACTTAATACTGAATTTAAAAAAGTAGTTTCAGAACTTGAAAGTAAAGAGAAAATGCAAAATTTGAATTTTTTGAAACTGTAGCGATTTTGAGCAAAATCGGTCCTTTAAAGTTTTTCAAAACTTAAAACTGATTTTTCTTACTGAGCTCGACGTCTCTATCCAACCATTTATAATATATCAAAAAGAAAAAGTCATAGAAACTTCGAATTACGGGCACCTTACTTTTTCTAGTATAGATTTCCAGACCTGCATAGTCTATGTTCGTGAGTTATTAACAGTGGTTTCGCTTTTATAGCATAAACTCTTAAAAGACTCATTTCATTTCACGTTTATCACTTTTTTAATCCTTTTATCGTTATTTCATGTTTGTGATACAGTATACGCCTTTAATAGTCCAGCAGATTTCATAAATCCTTGTTTATTAAAGCCTAGAGTTACATTTGAGTGGAATAGCGGTTTTAGAATTTAATTTTTATTTACTGAATGCGCAAAAAAATATTGTTTCACTGAAACTTTTAACCTCCATTTCTTCTCTGTCTTGCGATAGTACATGCTTGAGAGAAAAGGAAAAGACTATGTATTTATCTATTGGCTTTAATAAACAAAGCTTTACCAAATTTGCTGGACTATTAAACACGCGCACTGTTTCAGTATCTCTGAAAAATAAGATTATATAACGAGGAAACGACTGACGCACTATAGTTTATGAAAAGAAAACCTCACTCCTTTAAGCAAGTAAGTCATTGTGTAGTCGTCCTAGGTATAAATGTTATTGCATATAAATGTTATTGGAATGTTGGATATTCTGTACTCTTTCTAGGCACTTGCGATTTTGGAGTAAATGCAGTTTAGCAAGATTGTTGGTTCTTTCCTTTTTAGATGAGTAGTCAAATGTCCAGAAATTTGTATTACGCAGCGGGAACAATCGTGGCTGTATGGAATATAAACGGTAAGTTGAATGACTCTTTTTTATCCTATATGTTATTCTGAAAATAGATCATAGCATTTCCTACTAATCGAACCTCATTTCAAAGGTGGCAGATCATATATACCCTTTTTTGAATTTTGCCATAGCGTAGAGAATACTTTATTCCATATATTCTCAGATTTTTTTGATGAATGGTCCATATTTCCCTGAATAATTAACGACTGAATTTTGCGCCAAAAGCTGCTTTTAGCTGCAAACTTAGTTTTGTATGCAAAGTTTTCGTTATGACGCCACATGTCGTTGAATAACCTTTAAAAGATAATTTTCTTGTGCGATGAATGGGCACGCAAAATCATTTATAAAATAAACGTTGATGCTTCGGAGGCTTAATCGATTAATCAAGTTAACCATCTAATTAAATAATAGCTCAGAGTAATTCAAGTTTACTGCGTGAGATTGTGCCATCAACTTAAAAGCCTAAAAGATGTCTCAAAGCCATTAGTTTCGTCGTCACAAACGTATGAAAGCTGGTTTTCAAGAACCTCATAGACATTGGATACATTCAGAGATGAATCTTACAAATTAACCTAAAACTCTGTACTATATCTTAGTTCGAAATAAGCTTGATCAAAGTCGAATCAAGCGACAGAAGAATTTGATTGATAGCGCTCTCCGGTAGTGGAAAAAATCGAAAACTGTCGAATGGAGCGCGCCGGTTTTTTGCAAGCCGAAATTTTCTCAAGGTAGTTTTCTGCTCGACACTAGTCGATAAGACTTGACACTAGAGATCTGGCCCGTTCATGCCCGTGGTCCTATCGAGAGTGCTTGTCCGTGCCCGTCTGTGGATTTTTTTCCTGCCCGTGAAGAAAGAAACATTTTTTCTCTCATGCAGCTCAAAAATGTAAAACATTTTTTTGGAAAACCCGTGCCCATCCGTGAAAGCGGTTGCCCGTCCGTGTCTATTTCGAGCCTGCCCGCCCATGTCCGCGGCCGCGGGAATTCCCATGCGCATGCAGATCTCTACTTGATACGACCCTAGTTTCCTACGTGCCCAAGCACTGCTTTGGTTTGTTTGTGTAATGTAAAATGTATAGCTTTATGACCACGAAAAAACACTTAAACCATATATTTAACTCGATTACCTCTACAGCATATCAGAAAGCAGAAGAGCTTTCATCGTCCTATAAAGAAGTCTACTGTCTTATCGACGGGCAACTTAGCGACTTTCTTGTATGAAACACCTTTTTAAGCACCTGTACTATTCATTAGTCTGTCCTGGTGTATCGACTTTCACGTTTTGCACTCTATGTGTCGAGCGACGACAAGCTCTTGTGAAGATTGATTATAAAACTCTATTATTTAGAAGGATATATCTTTTCATATGTCATCATCGAGTGTACTTAATACAGCTACATATTTATAGTTTGATTCTTTAGACGGTTATTGGCTTGGAAAAATGACGAAAGATTCATCGGATAATGATGATGAACCCGAAGCTAGATGGTATATAACAAAATTTAAAGCAAGATTAAGAACACCTGCTATAAAAGTTCCAAAAACAACAGTAATTTATAATTTTGGTAATGTTCAAAAAGGCAATGAGTTTCAATTGACCCACGTCGAAGAAAAAGATATTATGGCGGCTCTCGAAAGATCCAAACATGGAGTTGGTAAGATTAGTAAAACTCATTTTTTTACCGTCTATTATTATGAAAGAATTCTTTTTTAGACAGAGTACGCGCCAGTTCAAATACGTCAGCAACAACAATCGAAAATTTTATCGATAATAGAGCTCGTGAGGTATGTCCGCTGTCTTTTGTTCTACATCAGTACATAAACGAGCAAGGTCAAAATAAAGAAAATAGATCGTCTAGGCACACATCGATGAAGACAGTGAGGAAAAAAACGATTCTGGTAAAAGCGCCTGTTTTTCTGGCCCGATTTTTTTATTTGCGTATATATACTTTCCACTACCCTAATGACTCGTCGAGACCGATCATTTTTTTCCTTCCAATCATGAACATGATATTTCTTTTTTCTGTCGAAAATAATCCGTCTAATGTTTGACGGTAACTTATTCTTCTTTTCTAGAATGAGGCAAAATTAAAAATCAAATACGATCAATTGCTGTTAAGTTATAAATTTCTGCAGCAAGCATTGATGACCAGTATCGATGAAACAAATATTATCGATCAATTATTATTATTGATAAATTTGAATTCGATGTTATGACCAAAATCAACGTGATAGAAACAATTATGCTGAAACATGGGGAAACACTTAAACAAAATCCATTTGTTATTAAATGCCATTGAGGAAATGATGGATAAGTTGGAGATAAATTTAGAACAAATATGTGAACATATTCCTTTATTAACATCAACAGTGGATAATGCACAACTCTTCGCATATCTGGTAATTCATTACGACTGCATTAATGCGTTGATATCATGTGAATCGATAATTGAGAATAAAGCTACTAGTGAAGTTAAAGCATGTGCAATTATGTGTGTTAAAGCCACTGGTAAGGCCTTAGATGATCTGACAGCGATAATAATATCTGTGTTTTCTTTTTTTTCTAGCAAAATTATTAAGTGAAAATGTGAAGGAGTCAACGCCGGTCCAATTGACAGCAATTCTTCTACGAATAAGGTTAAGATTTATGTGAATTTTATGACTCATCAAAATAAACATGAACCAGTCTCTTTTCCTCATGTGTATTCCTGTGCATTTTTCCTTGTACATTGATTCTTTCGTGAAATAAAATAGTTGCTATGATTCATTGTTCATTTTTTCAGTTATAACCATCAGCTGTTATATTCATTCACAATTATACGTAATCAAAAGCATAAGCTTTCGCTGCGTTTTCTAATATAATGCTCATATATTTTTTTGTTTTAAAAAATTTCCTTTCACACAGCTGGACCAACTTTTTATTAGACTTACGATAACGAAACTGACTCGTGTGTGATTAATAAAAGATTCATATTTGGTAAACGTCTTTTGTCATTTGTTGGGGATTACAAAAAAATCTCAAATCTAACTATTGCATCATTATCATTCTCCTTTTTGAACTTTTACGTGTGAGGACACATTTTTCGTTGCGGGGATGATTGTTACAGGCTTTCAGCCATCACAGTTACATAAAGATATATATTTTGCTTTCGTTTTCCTTTTTCAAGTGATATTTATTTTTCGTTCATCCATTTTACTACACAAATGTTTGACTATACATATATGACTTTTCTTTTCCGTTTTGGTCATTGTCATCCTTCGCCTTTTTATTTCGTTGATACAGATAAATATATAGACGAACATTGTCATCGTTCGAAGAATTCTTTTTCTTTTGGGTGTTTTTATTTCTGTTTTAAAATAAACTCTAGATGATTTAATTTGAACTTCACACTATCCCCTAACAGTAATTATATTCGTTTAGGTGAGCAATAAAACCAAGGATGAATGGTTTCACCTTGTTCATGTTGTACAACTCAACTAATTCTACCTTTATGGATGTACCTGATGATAGGTGCCCGAGCACTTGCATTTTTCTTCGATACCTATGCGAATACGCTGCTACATGAATGTCATATGTGCTTGAAGATTATTTACAAAAAAAGTTCCTGTTTGAAAGCAGCTGAATTTCTGCAGAGATTAATGATGTCGTGCGCACTTTCTGGACAGGAAAAGATTCAGTGTGTTCACGCGTGAAATATGTCATTGACTCGTGAACGAGCATGGAAGATATTTTTGCATACGAAAATACGCGTGACGTATTATCATTTAACGTGCTCCATGGTGTAACAACATTTTTATAAGTGTTAATGGCACAAATCATTACGTTTTCAAATTTTAACTCGTAAACACCTGTGGAACCTCTTAACATATTTTTAAATGTGGCTAAAGAAGTTTGTCTGCTTCACATTCTCGCTTAAGGCCCCCTCCCCACCCTAAAACGTTGATTTTCGTCAAATTTTTCGATTTTTTGATTTATAGTGTGTCAGATAGAGCAAAGTGTGGGCTGTCGAACGAACTATAGTTTATTCATTTTATGATGAGTTTTGAAGATGTTACATAATTTTTTCTGGAACCTCATATTCTACAAAATAACATTTTCTCGAAAAAATGTGAAGACAAAATACCATATTATGGGAAAAACGTAAAAGAAGTTTTGGAAGTGTAATTCAAGACTTTTTCTACGGTAAAATGGTGTAAAAAGAAGTTTTGAGTAATTTCACGTAGATCATCGATTAGGAGGAATCGAGTGGACGCATTCAAAGGCGTATGGCGAAAACTTTTGTTTATTCGATATGGTTATGTCGTGATCACCGTGAAATCAATAAGGACTGCACCTGTAATCCTTCTTTACATACATATATGTGTTATCACTCCTGTTGTTGTTGTCTAGTTAGATTCGTTCGTTCTTGCTCTCATCTTTCTCTTGTTCATCTAGTCGAGATATTGTCTTTGTTTATTTTTACTCACGTATAAAATAAACGCAATATACATCTCTCATCACTTCTTGTATTGAACGGCAATACGTGTAATAACATATTTTTTGTAGTAAAATAAACGTTTCAATGAGTAAAAGAAGAATTTGTTACAAAAAGAAAAGTAGAAGATCTATTATCAAACAAATTCGGTCGGAAAATCTAAACAGGAAGCGTGGTTATTCATCATCATCAGACATCAACGAATTCAGTACAAAACCAATCCACATCAAGCATAGAAAATATTGAAGATAATATGGTTTTTTGTCTTCACATTTTTTCGAGAAAATGTTATTTTGTAGAATATGAGGTTCCAGAAAAAATTATGTAACATCTTCAAAACTCATCATAAAATGAATAAACTATAGTTCGTTCGATAGCCCACACTTTGCTCTATCTGACACACTATAAATCAAAAAATCGAAAAATTTGACGAAAATCAACGTTTTAGGAAAACTTCTTTTGCGTTTTTCTCATAATATGGATTTTTGTCTTCACCTTTCTGTATTTCCCAAATTTCTCCACCATTTTAAACGCTAAAAAGCTGGGGTTGGTCCTTAAATGAAGGGAATGATCAGCGCTACAATTTGACAGGGCCAAAATTTTCGATTTTACGTTTAATATCTCATGAGCTTCAACTGTTTTACAATATATACCCTATTCTTATCATATCTTATGAAGTAAGCTTAAACAACACAAAAAATAAATCGGACTCTGTCAAGTTGTAGCCCCGGACCTGGGCTACATTTTAAAATCAACCCGAGCGCTCTAGCATTTGCATTGGCAGAGAAATTTTGGAAACAGCGAAGCCCACTTTTGACCCTTAATTTTAAGGTATCTTGAGGGAAGACTCACGGGGATACACATGAGGAAAAGAGACTGGTTCATGTTTATTTTGATGAATCATAAAATTCACATAAATCTTAACCTTATTCGTAGAAGAATTGCTGTCAATTGGACCGGCGTTGACTCCTTCACATTTTCACTTAATAATTTTGCTAGAAAAAAAAGAAAACACAGCATATTATTATCGCTGTCAGATCATCTAAGGCCTTACCAGTGGCTTTAACACACATAATTGCACATGCTTTAACTTCACTAGTAGCTTTATTCTCAATTATCGATTCACATGATATCAACGCATTAATGCAGTCGTAATGAATTACCAGATATGCGAAGAGTTGTGCAGTACTGTACAAGTACAAAGTATCCATTGAAAATATACAAGCAAAAGTACAAGATAAGTTGCCGGAGATCAAGAATTAGTATGAAAGTAGTCTAGAAACGGTTATCTTTTGATTTATATCATTAAACGAAATATTCTAACATATGTCACTATACCGAGCACACCTTTTCGGAAAACACCTAGCGTAGAAAGCAAGTCAATTTTTTCGGTCATGGAGGAGCCAAAACAAGGTTTTTTCGTCACACGACATTACCGCGAATACAAAAAACGACATCACAGTGAAAACTCGTTTATTTGAAAAGAAGAATAAATGAGCATGGTTCTGTATAGACTTTTTTTCTAACATATATGTGTCGTTTTAGAGCGTTTTTGAAAGTTTGTATAGCACTAAAAAAAGGAAGACTAAAAAATGTAATTCAGTTACGACACCTATTTTGCTCATAAAAATCGTTCTACTCAACCGACGCATTCGAAATTTTTACCACAAATCAAACATTCTACCGCACATTTCTTATAAAAATTTCGTCATCTTTTGTTCAGTATTTAAGAAGAAACAGAGCCCAAAACTTAAAAAATATAATTCCGTCACGCGCGTTTAAGCCGCACATATAAATTGCTTGTTGAGTACATAAAAAAAGATCCAATATCTCTAATTCCAGCTGCATTACTATCACTTTTTAAAACGTAAGGTGGTTTTTGCTGTAGAAATTAATTTTTTAGATGGTACACCGAGTGACTGAACCTTCGAGGTGGTACAAAATGCCTCAAATATTCAGGTGAGGATAGACGCCCCTGATTCTTGTTCATGTAAGACAAATGATCAATACCTTTTCCGATAAATC